TGATCCCATGACCCTGGGATCATGACTTGAGCCGAAGGCAAATGCTTAACCAACTGAGCCACCCAGGCGCCCCAGCCATTTTTCTACCCAGCCTCACCCCTCCCCCTTCACGTCCCCCTCAATCTTCCTAGCCTCCTCAATACCCTGCAGGAGATAAGAACGTTAGCTGCCCTAATTTGAGAACAGGGGCTGCGTGGGCAATGGCTAGTTGCTCTGAGTTTTACAGAGCACAATATGGCTGGGGCAGAGTAATAAGCAAGTGAGAGATGGGGGAAGTAGTTGGGTCAGACAGGGAACAGTCCTAATGTGTAGAACCTTGTAACTAAATACTGGGAATGTGGGTGGCTTTTTTTTTTTTTCCTGGTGGATGAGAAACCATCAGAGAGTTGCGAGCTAAGGTGAAGTGACCAATCTGCTGAGCGAGGGTAGAATCAGAGAGACCAGGAATAGGCTGTTGCAGGAATTCTGGCAAGAGGAAATGGCGGCTTTGACCAGGGTGATGGCAGTGGAAATAGTGAAAAAATGTTGACATTCTGAGAAATTCTGACAGTTGTACCTACAGAATTTGCAGTCGGACTAGATGGGAGTGCAAGAGAGAAAAGGTTAAGGATGATTGCAGGGTTTTTAGCCTGTGCAACTGGAAGCATGGACTTTCCTGCCATTTATGGAGATGGGGGAAGTAGGTTTAGGGGGAGCAGGATGGGGAATTCAATTTTGGAGATACTGTATTTATTAGACCTTCAAATTTATTAGACTCTTTCTAGATCAGAGGAGAAATCTAGAAGAGCCAGGTAAATTTGAGAGTCCTCTGTTTATAGCTGGTATTTAAAGCCATGAGATAGGGAATAGTCCTCCCACTTCCTCCCTAGGTGATCCCTAAGACATTCCAAGGCTTAGAGGATAGGGATGAGGTAGAGGCAGCAGCAAAGGTCACTGAAGAGATACAGATGAGGAATTGGGTAGAAAACCATGAGTGTATGTGTCCTGAAAGCCAAATTAAGAAAATGTCTCAAGAAAGAGGGAGTGATCATCTGTGTCAAGTGCTGCTGCTGATTCAAGTAAGATGAATGGTTCAAGATCGATGAGAATTCACGTAGATTTATCAATATAGAAGTTCTGGAGCCTGACTGGAGGGGATTTAGTAGAGAACAGGAGAAATTAGAGAGATGCAGACAACTAATTCAAGAATTTTGCCCTAAAACAAAGCAAAGCAAAACAATTGCAGCCATAGATAGAAAGGGATATAAGATTTGAGAGTTCTTTGTTTGCTTTTTAAAGATGGGAGAATTTATGGGATATTTATACATTGCCTGGAATTGATGTGATCAGAGAGAGAAAACATTGAAGAGGGAGAAAGAATCACTGGACAATATCCTTGAATAGGCCATAAGAAGGCCTGGCCTTAAGTTGGAGTACACCCAGTACTAGGAAGGGACAGAGTAATGGGCTAGGGGGCAAGTAGCCCATTGGTAGCCCATGGTAGAAGTCAATGGACCTTTTCAGATTGCTTCTAATTTTCTTTTTTTTTAATTAATTAATTTATTATGTTATGTTAATTACCATACAGTACATTATTAGTTTTCGATGTAGTGTTCCATGATTCACTGTTTGCATATAACAACTTTTCAGATTGCTTCTACTTTTCTTAGCAAAATAGGAAACAAGGCCCTATAAGACAATTTCTACAAAGTGCCTATAAATCTAAGGAAATAAAAGGTAATCATTTGTAATGATAATTTGATAATTTGTGCTCTTGCTGTGCATGAAATATTCTACTTCTTCTAAAGCCCAGCTCCAGTCTAGCTTGCTTCAATGATGATCTCTTTCCAACTACACTCCAGATTATTTGAACTACTCACTGGGCTCTTAGCGTGTTGTTTATTTATTAATGTCTGATCTGCTCAGTGGTGTCATAAATTGCTTAATTGTAGGGACAGTGTTCATATCTCATGGTCTCTCCTGCACAGCATCTAGCATATAGCAAATGCTTAATAAATAGGTTCTTCCCATAGAGGGCCTGAGCTTGGCCATAAATAGAATGTTTTCACAGTTCAAGTAAACTATCTTGTTAATTTAATCTCTGTTTTTTTCTGTTAACCCATTTTTGAAACAATTTGTTTCTTTCAGGTTCAGGATTATCTAAGGAGATTTGAAAGTATACCAGATATGCTTGAATTGGATCACCTCACAGTTTCAGGAGATGTGACATTTGGCAAGAATGTTTCACTAAAGGTGTGTTGTTCTGATGAAAATTACAGTTCTTACAGCTTTACAAAACAGGTTTCATTTTCTAGTCCTAAATTTACCTTTATTTTATTTTTTAAAGATTTTATTTATTTATTTGACAGAGAGAGAGATAGCGAGAGCAGGAGCACAAGCAGGGGGAGTGGGAGAGGGAGAAGCAGGCTTCCCGCAGAGCAGGGAGCTCGATGCCGGGATTCCCAGGACCCTGGGATCATGACCTGAGCCGAAGGCAGACGCTTAACGACTGAGCCATCCAGGCGCCCTACCTTTATTTTAAAGAATACCTCTTAGTCTATACCAGATGTTTATAAGACATAAATATATTTTTAAAATGAAATAGCTTACCACAGTATTTAGTATTAATAACTGTCTTCCATAGATATACAACATAGTTAAAATACAACCACAATTGTTGTATATAGGAACTTTGTGGAATATAGCATTCAAATGGAAAGCAAACACCAGTAAGTAATTTAACTGGTACTATTTTATTGAAATGACAGTCTGTAAAAGAGAATCACTGTTAAAGTAGCATTAGCGCACCAAAGATGACTATTTGAATCTGAATGAAAGTAAATGACAACTTCACTTATACTGAATATAATCTATTCCTTTTAAAGTAATCGATTATCGTCAGTATAGAGATTTATTCACATACCGTAGTACTTGGGTACTTTGATGAGTATCATTCTAGCCTAAGAAACAGGAAGGACTATAGGTATAAATATTAAAGCTCAGAACCAAAGATACAACAGCTTTTTCCTAATTATTAAAAAAAAAAAAAAATCCCATACCTAGAGTACATGTGGTCTTCCTTTAGTAAAGCTCCTTAAATGAGGATCTTAGAAAAACAAAAAGATATAGGTGTATATAAATATGTGTGTGTGTATATATATGTGTATACAGCTGACCCCTGAACAACGTGATGGCGTGGGGGGGTGACCCCCGTGTAGTCAAAAATCCATGTATAACTTTTGACTCCCCAAAATGTAACTATTAATAGCCTATTGTTGACTGGATGCCTTACTGATAACAGTTGATTAACACATATTTTGTAGGTCATATATATTATATACTGTATTCTTACAATAGAGGAAGCTAGAGATAGGAAAATTTTAAGAAAATCATATACAGTACTATACTGTATTTATTGAAAAAAATGCATGTTAGTGGGACCCAGACAGTTCAAACGTGTTGTTCCAGAGTCAACTGTACAGACCTATCTATACGTGTATATATACATATATAGGTATATGGAACTTTATTGCTGATAACTGTGTATATACACACGTACATGGAACTTTATTGCTGATACTGCCTCATCTAAATAGTCTCACTTGAGACATGAAAAATATATTCGTAAACCAATAAAACAAGCCCAAATCTATATGTAAATATAAACCAAGCACCTCAGTATCTTTATGAAGGTAGTTCTTTGAAAGGGCCAGTCATGCTGTGGCACAGGGCCCACTTCTCACCCCGGTACCGCCTCTGATACGGAGGCAGCGTCTCTAGAACTACTGTCAGGATTCTTAGAGGGACACATTATACAGTTTTCCTTAACATGTTATTTTTCATACTTTGATACTGCTAATAAGTACAACTGCTCCACTGTAAATGGAGCATAAACCTGGTACATAAACTTGGTAATTGTAAGAAAATCAGTTGCATTTCAGCTGCAGTTTTACACTGTTCTGTTTTGTCTTCCCTGTCATGTAGGGAACAGTTATCATCATTGCAAATCATGGTGACCGAATTGACATCCCACCTGGAGCAGTATTAGAGAACAAGATTGTATCAGGGAACCTTCGTATCTTGGACCACTGAAATGAAAAATACTGTGTACACTTCATACTAATTATGGGCTAAACAGTTTCTTACAATGAAATGTTCTCTAGGATTCTAAAATCGGCAGGTACTTTACTATGTTACTGTACCCTGAGGTGTTAATTTTTAAAGTAGTTTTTTTTTTTGCAATATGCTTAGTCGAAGAAAAGCACAGATGGGAAGCAATATTTTTCTTCTTTGAAGAGGACCCTGAAAGTTCATCTTAAAGTGCAATACTGTTTAATCTTAAAACTGGGGCAGCTCTGCTGGAACATCTTTTAACAGTGGCCTCAGTGATGGTCACTTTGAATTGCTTGTGATTTCAAAAATAAAGCTGTGAGGCAATCCATGTGCACACGTACACTTTCAATGCTAACTTTATGAAATGGCGAAGAAAAACGGTTTACTCTTGCAAAACAGTTCCTGGATCAATTGGAAGATTTGCTCTTGAAATATTTAAGTACTCATTGGCCAGTTACCTAACATATCTAGTTTTTGCATTTCTAAGAATCTTAACCACATCATTCTTTCCATAGGAATAAACCTGAAGGCCTTTCATCTACTCCTAAGGCTGGGATGCCTGCCATGCTTTCCACAGACTCTCCATTTATTAAAACAAAGTGATGTTTCTTTTCCCAGCTGAAGGGATGGGGTGGGTAGAGGTAGGGTATTTCTTTTACATCCTTGTTCTCTAGTATGGTGGGGTGGGGGTACAACTTTATAAAGTTCCCTTTCCTTGAAGCTTTCTTGTTGTGACTGAAAATATTCACAAATAACCTTTCAGATCAGCTCTGCTGGTAGTTTAATTTGTGGCTTTTCTCTAAGGATTAATTACATTTTCTAATTCTTACATATTTGTTTTTGAGTAGGCTGCTTGTATTTAAAGTTTACTGTATACTATTAAAAAGAAGTTGCCTTATAAAGTCTGATAATTTTTTACAGCTTTATTTTAGACAGTTTAAGAACCAATGACATACCTTAGTAATGATAAAACAGGCTTTCCTTTTAAGGGAATGGAAGAGCACAAAATAAGACTATTAATTATTTCACTGTACATAATCACCACAAGGTTAGGCACTCTGACAGGGTGAGGCAAGATTCCCGGTATGAGGTGAGGCACAGGCACTTTCAGTTGTAGAGTGCTGCTGATTCTAGTTTTGAAGGTAGGTATTATAAAATCTTGAAATAACTTACTCATCACCTTGTATTTCTGGCCCCAACACAGCAGTCTATATTTTAAAAGTTCTATTTTCTCCCTGGTCTTTGTTCATACACACGTCGAAAGTAACTTTTTAAAAACAAGAACCCAAGGGGGCCATACTTCATATGTTATCTAAATGTTAAAAAGAGAACTCATAAATAGAACATATTAAAATGTCTTATGATTTGCTAGAAATAAAAAAACACAAACCAACCCTTCATAGATACTTTTATAAAAATACAGCTATTAAACTGCAGCCTTTCATATACCACTTCTGAAAAGTATTTAAATTAGTATTTGCATAAATAAATGCCAATATCTTATTCTTTAATTATTACTGTGATCAGACTTTCAAGTATTTAGACTATTCTGGAAGGCTTTATCCAGTTGACATAGAGTGGTGGTAGAAAGATTAAATATGTGACACACAAGGCCTGAAACTTGACATTGGTCACTAAAACAAAAATTGAATTCCTAAATCCAAGCAATCAAAAGATGTTTATTTTTTATAGAAAGATCTGTAAAAAAATAATTTTTCAAACAGCTTTACTTTCATAGAGAAAACTTTCTACAGAGGTTGACTAAGATTTTAATATTTTAAATTGTACCATCATTAAATAAGGTGGGACACCATATGAATTTCATTGCACTGGAAGAAATGCAAAGCATTTTTTAATATAAAGTATACAGAGCATTCTAGTCAACTACAGCTGTGTTACAGCTATGTGTTCTTTTGGATTTGGTCCAAAGAAACCTGAGTCTGTTTCCAGAGAGAATGAAAAATGTTACAGACACCTGATCAGTTACTCCTCACTGAAGGAAGCATAAAAATGGCATTCCTTGTAGATCCCACTGAATCCCAGTTTCCCAACACTGATACTTTCCTTTCCCCTTCCCCTATCCCAGTTCACTTTGGGTTCGAGGTTCAGTTCTTGAATCACAGGCATCCACATTTTCTTCATAAACATACACATCCCATGGTCAGATGAGCTACCCAGTTTTCCAGTATGTCATCACCTCTTCTGTTCCCAGATCTCGGACATATTTAGGTCCAAATCTTTAAGGCCTTTTAAGGCTTGAAGATTTCCAGTGTAAAAAGCTACATCTGCTGTGACCAACCTAAACATTGGAGAGAAAACTATTTTTAATCTCACACTTTCTACTGGATAAAGAAGCAATGCTCATAGAGTCAGTCTTACCGTAACTGCTAGACTATTATTTAAAATTCAGATTTCCTAGGGACCAAATGTCAATGTATTTCTTAGCAGGATTCCTGCTATCTTATACTCTATTTCAACAATAAATATCTTGAAAAGGAATAAACCAGTGCAGGCTGGACTTGGTCTCATAATTCTGCCCAATAAAATAGATTTATCTTAAAACAGCATGAAATATCAGTGGTCACTAGACTATACAGTTGACCCTTGAACATCACGGCTTTGAACTGCACAGGTCTACTTAGATTTTTTTTGACACAGTACAGCATGAAATGTACTTTTATGATTTTCAAAACCTTTTTTCCAGCTTTATTACAAGAACACAGGATATAACATACAAAATATGTGTTAATCCACTGCTGATGTTAATGATAAGGCTTCCGGTCAACAGTGGGTATTAGGTTTTTGTGAAGTCAAAAATTACGTGTGGATTTTCTACTGCGAGGGGGGTTGGTGGTCCTAACCCCCGCATTTTTCAAGGATCAACTGTACATGTATATGACTAAATGAAATCAAGTGAAAGAAACACAAGGTTTCCTGAGTGACATCCAAAGAAGTTAAATGAAAGCTGGGATTCATGCATATGTATTACTAGATATAACACTTGATACATCTAGCAACACTGGATGAAAAAATAGTCTTACACTTTTGGGTACTGAGATGTCTCATTAATGTCTATACTTGAAAGGACATTCCAGGAAACAGCACTCAGATAAATATCAAAGCTCCATGCATATAAAATAGGGACTGGTCTGAGTAGATGTATATTTTGACAGATATGGCCATGGAAGAACAAACAGACCTTGATTTAGTAGTTTGTAAAAGAGAGGAGGAAATCCAGCTTCAGTATTTTATAATGAACACGTAAGTTCTGGTTTGCTAGAGTAAAAGCACCCTCAATGTTTGTACTACAGTCCAATTTATAAATGCTTTGGACTTATGTACTTAATGTTTCACCTTTTATCACATGGCAGAATTTAATAAGGACCATATTTTTCACTTAAAACTCCTCTAATCTGGGTGCTTTAAAAAGATTCGAAATTACACTTGTGATAATATGGTCAGTTAAAGTACACTGAAACTGACAGCAACAGCTCAAAAAAGAACAAAGCCTTTCTAAGCAAGGTCTTCACATTAAAAACTAAGCATAAAATTAGCATAACTCTTCACTTAAAAATATTTCCAGAGTTATATCAAAGTCGAAAATTGTTTAACATAAAAGCAGATATTTGCAACATATATAACCAACAAAGGATTAGTCTGATTAGGACATATGCAAAAATCTAAAATCAACAAGAAAAATAATACCCAAGAGAAAGCAAAGAAAGTGAACAGGAAAAAGATGAGAACACCTGAATGACTAATAAATATATGAAAAGATGACAAACATTAGGAAATGCAAATCGAAACAAGATACCACTGGCAACCATTTAAAAATCTAACAGCAAATGGTTGGCAACATGGTACAGCCACTTTGGAGAATATTCTGGCAATACCTCGTAGAGTGAAAATGTACATATGCTCTCATCAACTTGTATCTATACCCCAAAGAAACGGTCACACCATTAGACATGTATATAGATCTTCACTGTGGCATCGTTGTAATGGAAAAAAGTAATGACCTAGAAATCTATCATTTGGAGAAATGGCTACATTAAATACGGTTGATGCATGTGGGAGAATAAAAAGCAGTCAAAAAATGGACAATTCCTGGGGCGCCTGGGTGGCTCAGTCGTTAAGCGTCTGCCTTCGGCTCAGGTCATGATCCCAGGGTCTTGGGTTCGAGCCCCACATCGGGCTCCCTGCTCAGCAGGAAGCCTGCTTCTCCCTCTCCCACTCCCCCTGCTTGTGTTCCCTCTCTTGCTGTGTCTCTGTCAAATAAATAAAATCTTTTAAAAAAAAAAGGACAATTTCTACATATCAAATAGATAAACCAGTTACAATGCTGAGTAGGAAAAAGTAAGCAGCATATGTACAATATACAAGTAAATTAAATTTTATAAAACAGTGCTACCTACTTTTCTTAAGATACAAAGATAATGTGAAGGACTTAAAGAATACAGGCCAAATTTATTAAAAATACTACGGGTTGGGGGAAAGAGAATGGGACTGGAGATGGGGTCAAGGGATACTTCAGTTTCATTTGGAATGGTTTTTGGTTTTTGGGTTTTTTTTAGATTTTATTTGAGAGAGAGACAGCATGAGCAGGAGAGAGGGGCAAAGGGAGAAGGACACGGAGAAGCAGACTACTCGCTCATCAGGGAGCCCAATGCGGGACTCAATCCCAGGACCCTGGGATCACAACCTTAGCGGAAGGCAGATGCTTAACTGAGCCACCCAGGTGCCCCTTGTTTTCTTTTTTACCATAAACATTTTTTTCAAGCAAAAATAAATGTTAATGATCAATTCTAAGCAGCAATACAAATATTATTCTCTATAGGTCTGTATTTTAAAAATGTCTTAGATAAAATCTCATCAGAAAACACAGGGTTTGGGGAGAAGGAAGGATAGGAAGTAACTTAATGCTTAATGGGTAGAGGATTTCCTCTTGGGATTTAAGTGTTGATCCTATTTTATGACCTGGACAAACTGGAACTAGAATGCACTTGTGAATGCACAAAATGCTACTGCATTGTTAACTGTACAATGGTTAATTTCATGTTATGTCAATTTCATTCTTGAAAAAAAAAGTACATTTTTAGAGCCATCTCAGGAACAAAAATTTCTTTTAAGCAGGTAGTTTGCTATATCTTTGGCTAGAGTCTAGAGGTTAATTTTCAGGGAATTCCATCTTTCAAGGGATCACTCAGAGGCATGAACTGACTTACATAGAATTTAGTGCCTTTAAAAGTATGTGACAGTGAAGATCTCTAAGGTGGTACGACCCCCATATAGCTATATTAACAAAGAAAGTAATAGGTAATGAGTTAGCTTGGATGCTTCAGAAGTACTGGTCAGAACCAACCAACCAACCAACCCAGATTTAGCTATGGGAATAAAAGTAGAAGGTTATGAGGGGAGTGGGGCTTAAAAATGCTAGTTTTTTAAAAACAGTTTCTGAGAGGTTTTGGTGTTCATAAACTGTCCTTGAACTTTTCTGTGGCTCTGTAATTTCTGAAAATAACAATTGTTAAAAATAAGAAAGAGAAGAACCAGGTAAGAAGGGAGAGATCAGATTTTTGCATCAAAAAATTCAGCGTGGCCAACAGATTCAGCAGTCTGGAGCTTCCAAATATTTCTTGCAAAATCAGTGTACTTGTTTTATTGGACAGGGCCAATTTCTGACTCCAAAATATATTTTGTCACTTGTTCCTGTAAGTTTGAAAATTTAAGCCCGAAACTTAACAGGGAATAAAATATTCCTTAAAAATCCATGCAATAGCTAACACTAAGGAAATCATATTAAGGTGTAGTTTCATGATCAATGCTTTTTGCGTTTTGTATAATCTTTTCCCCGTATCTTTATCTGTGTTGCTCCTCACAAAAATCTTGTGATGGTACTTTTTACCATCATCCCTATTTTCAAATCTAAGAAAATAAAAGCACAGAGAGAGTAAGTGATTTACCTAAAGTCACACAGCTAGTAAGCAGCAGAACTTAACCCAAGTTTTCTGATTCTAAATTCTGTTTTATATAATTACACTATCTCACCGATAATACATATAATTTGTTCAACAGTTTACAATAAAATGGACATATACATTTATACTATATTTTTTGTGACCCTATTAAAGAGTTAAAGCACATTTTATCCTCATTTTATAAATAAGGCAGAATAAAGTGGACTTTCTCATGGTCACACAGCTACAAAGTAGGACTCTGAGTCCTGTCTGCATAGGGAGAGACTACTGGGTAACATAAGGAGGTGCTATTGACCCACGCTGCCTCAAAACAGACATGTGAGTTAAGTAATTGACCATTTATAAAACACTTTAATGTAGACAGACAGACAAGCAGATACAGATATCCTCTCCACAGAGAAAAAAAGGCAAAAAGTTGCTGATTGTACCACTGTAGTGGTCCGATATGATTATAGTGGAGAAGGACAGCATAATGAGTAAAAACCAATCAAGCAATCCAATATGGGAGCACATAGTAAAAATATGTTGAAAACATACCCATTTTGAGGTCCTCCATCATTTATCACATTTAAATGAGATAACTGCTTTTTCAAGTGGAGTTTATAACTTGCATTAATTCTTAAAAATAACATCTGGAAAAGAAATAAAATGGTTTCTTAAAGCTCTACTGAAACAAGACATAAGCATCTGAGTTATCAGTATCAAATCAATATTATTTGGAGAAAATACTTTTAAAAAATCTTTGCTTTGGCATATACTTTTAAGAAGCTCCCCTGAGGTATTTAGTTGCTATTTTAGTATAATTTTTCTACATTTTGGGATAAAAGCTCTTTTTCCCCTTATCAGCAGTACTTCTTTTAGTGATATGATTTATTACTGCCTTTCTGCCCCTTAGAAGTTCTCTGGGATATATAAGGGGGGATCGACCATGACAGGCAAAAAGAAATGAATTCTGCAATATATTAAATATGAACTTGATAGGGAAAAAAAAAGTCACAATGGTAGAGGCAAAGATACTTTCATCCTTCTAAACTGGTAAAACGACTAGAAAGTATTTTATTGCTCCTGCATTCAGGTATTTGATGCAATGGCCCAAAACTTCTGTGGGAAATACCTGACCTGAAGCTGTTTATAGTTAATCTTTGGAAACGATTTTGTGAAATAACATGTATTTTCTATGGGGAAAAATATATATAAAGTCATCCATGGAAGTTTTATGGAATTACTAGTATTCAACTGACAACACTGACATAAAATCTAATTCTTGCCCAGCTTTGACAAGAGTTCCTTTAAATTATGATGCAGATAAAAACACATGGACTACCTGTATGCCCAGCTCCCTGACCTGGCCATAATTAGAACTCAGATGACAAATCCAGAAGGTCAGAATGTCAGAGGTGGGAGATCTTACACTTGCAATGAGAAGGATGGCTTGACTAGGAAGAAATGGGGAAGAAAAAAGAGACCCAGTGGGTGCTCCCTCTCTTATAGCTCCTCAATTCTCAGTGAGCCTCAAAGGAGTTGGATGAATCCTGAGTTCGGAATGATTAATGAAAACCTAGGGAAGCATGAAGAAAAACAGTAAGAGCTACTGTAGGATGGAAGTCTGAGGTGGTATGGGAAAGCAGACCAGCAGGAGAAAGAGTAGGCAAGAGACACTAAGAAAGCTACCTTTTGCTCCCAAATACCACTTCCATGTACTTAACCAATTAGAGGCAAACTCAAATAACAAACTTGTCTGAAGAACAAAAATCCTATTCTAACACTATCATTCTACAACTAGGCTTGAATGAGATAACCTGGTATAGAGGGAACAAGCTAAGATGGGTAAAGAAGATTGGAAAAAAAAGAAATCCTGGAATCTTTTTTTTTTTTAAAGATTTTATTTATTTATTTGAGAGAGAGAGAGACAGCGAGAGAGTGAACACAAGCAGGGGGGAGAGGGAGAAGCAGGCTTCCCGCAGAGCAGGGAGCCTGACGCGGGGCTCGATCCCAGGACCCTGAGATCATCACCTGAGCCGAAGGCAGACGCTTAACCGACTGAGCCACCCAGGCGCCCCGAAATCCTGGAATCTTTAAAGTACCAGGAAAGGGGAACCGAGCAAGTGGGGGGTGGGTAGGAGAGTCGGTGAACAGTGCAGAGAACTCTGTGGTAACACTCATATAGGGGAAGACGGTCGGGACAAAGGGAGGATACTTCATAGGTGAGAGGTGCCAAAGACTACCCATTTTGCTATTTTCCTGGCTTATGCCTACTACCGATCACTTATGCTGATCTAACAAATATTAATCAGGTATATTGATTGAGTTACTTTATGTGTCATCTCATTAATTCCATCACTAATTCCTCCACTATCCCATTTGGATTATCATAACAGCAACATATTTTACTGTTGATAGATGGCAACTCTGATTTTCAAACTGATAATGTAATGAACGATGTAGGTAGAATCTGGCATCTCTGATACTCAATGGACCAATGAAAAATCTGCTTTTTATAATTGCTAACATACAGCAGAGCAATTACTGCTCTGGCCTGTTGGAGCTAGGGGCCTTTTGAAATCAGAAATTTTTATCCATGTTCCACAGGTCAATATAACAGCTGAAAAAAATAATAATCATATTGGAAAGATTTTATTTATTTATTAGATAGAGAGAGACATAGCGAGAGAGGGAACACAAGCAGGGGGAGTGGGAGAGGGAGAAGTAGGCTTCCTGCAGAGCAGGGAGCCCGATACAGAGCTCGATCCCAGGACCCTGGGATCATGACCTGAGCCGAAGGCAGCCGCTTAACAACTGAGCCACCCAGGCGCCCCAATTGGAATATGAACTAGGCTTAACTGTACCAAAAGTATGTAAAAACACTCCAATTCTGCATGCATATGTTATATATAAAAAAGCAGTGTTAAGAATTACTACTCACTTGTGTTTGTTCTTCTGGAAGAAGATCAAATATAGCTTCATGCATTTTTGCCATTTGCTTACAAATATTCCTGAAACAGGCAGAAGGAACGGGAGCTTTCACCTCATACTGGCAGGGAAAAATAATGAGAATTATGTTCATGTCCTCTGGATTGTTTATTATCCGCACTGTTCCCTCAGACATATATTTTCAGCCCTTACATGCCTAATTCTGATAGAGTTGAAGCTTACACTTCTATGATCTGTGCTTACTCATGCAAATCTCAAGAACTTTTCATTAAATATCCTAATCTACTTTGAGAAAGCCAGCAAAATTTAGTGGCTAAGAACAGAGGCTGCTTCCCTTAAGATAGACTTTTTGGGTTCAAATCCCAGCTCTTCAGATTCTTAGCTATGTGACACTGGGCAAGTTACTTCATTTCTCTATATCTCAAAGGACTTGCTGTGAGGACTTAAAAAGATGGCTTATGAGAACACAAAACAGTGCTTGATACAAAGTAAGTACACAAAAAATGTTAGCTACCCATCTGGCTCAATATACAATGATGAATCTTTAAAGTAGGCCCTCCAAATTAACAGATTATTTTTTAAACATGATTTTCAGAATGTGTCAACATGATCGTATCAAATCAATAGGACTCTGGCAAAATTAAAATTTTCTTTTTCTTTTGTAGGTAGGCCAATATAGTAATCATATTTATCCTAACTATGGTAAAGGAAAACTTACTCAGCAATGACCTATACTGAAAATTTAAACTTAGGTAAATTCATTTTACTATCCTTACATTTGGATAGTAATATAATAATATAATATACTGGTATCATTCAGAGAACCATCTTTGGCCCACATTTTATAATTCACAAATTATGTACTATTTTTATTTATAAGACAAATCTGGGCTAAATAATTTAATGTACTAATCTTATATAGTTTATTAAAATGGTGAGTTCCAATATACTGCTCTTAGCAGAACGATGCAGAAGTCACCATGTGACTGGGTCCAAAATAAGCAAAGTTGTGACCCCCTAAAGTTTTACCTTTCTTCAGCCTAGGAATATATAAAACATCCCTTATCTTTTTTGTTAATAACAGATTTAAGATATGATTCACACACCATAAAATTCACCCTTTTAAAGTGTACATTTAACTGGTTTTTAGTAGACTCATAGTTATACAACCATCACCATTTACCTCTGAACATTTTCATCACCTCAAAAGAAACCCATAACCAATAGCAGTCACTCCCCATGCCCCCCTCCCCTCAGCTCCTGGCAACCACTAATCTCCATAAATGTAATAATACAATATGTGGCTTTTTGTGACTGGCTTCTTTCACTTAGCATAATGCTTTCAAGATTCATCTATGTTGTTAACATGCATCAGTACTTCATCCTTTTTAGGGCCACATGATATTCTATTGTACGAATATACCATAATTTATCCAATCATCAACTGATGGACATTGGGTTATTTCCACTTTTTGGCTATTATGAATAATAATGCTGTGAACATTCATGTACTGGTTTTGTGTGGACAAATGTCCTCAATTCTTTTGGGTGTATATCTAGAAGTGGAATTACTGGGTCATATGATAACTTTAATCTTTTGAGAAAATGCCAAAATTTTTTCCAAGGAGCTATATCATTTTATAGTCCTACTCAGCAGTGTATGCGGGTTCCAATTTTTCCATATCCTCAACCAACACTTGTTATTGTCTGTCTTTTTTATTTAGACATGCTAGTGGGTATGAAGTAGTTATCTCATTATGGTAACATCCCCGTATCTTAAATACCACGTGTACTGGGTTGAACAGTATCCCCCCCAAAATTCACGTTCACTTAGAACCTTATAAGGTCATACCGGATTAGAGTGGGCCCTAAATCCATTGACTGGTGTCTTTATAAAAGAAAGGAGAAGGAAATATAGACATAGACACACAGAAGGAAAATGGCCACGTGAAGACAGAGGCAGAAATCGGAATGATACATCTACAAGCCAAAGAATGCCAGCAATTGACAGCAAGCACCAGAAGCTAGGAAGAGGCAGGGAAAGACTTTGCTAGAGCCTTCAGAGGGAGCATGGCTGACAACACTTTGATTTAGGACTTCTGCCTCCAGAATTATGAAAGAATACATTTCTGTGGTTTTAAAGCTACTGTCTTTGATAATTTGTTATGGCCGCTCTAGGTAACTAGTACACCCCCAAAACCTTCCTTCACCCCTGCCTTCCCTAAAGATACTATTCTTTCCATCTTACCTTCACCATCATTTCTTCAGTCACTGAAACTTGACACTGTACTTCTTTATTCTCAACCCTTAAAATTTGGTTCTTGCCACTACCCAAACCACCTTCCTCCACTATTAACAATCTTCTGAAATTTCTGCAAAAATCACTAAAGACATCCTAACTTCCAAATTTAGTAACTTTCCTAGTCCCCCTACTCATTGCTCTGCAGTGTTCACACACCTTCACACTTGAAACACGGTCCTCAGTCCTCATGTAACACAGTGCTTCCCTGATTCCTCCCCTCCTGACCTTCCTCTTCTGTATCCTGTCTCCTAAATGCAACGCTTTTTCAATCTTAATGCCCCTATCATCCCCTCTCTCTCTTTTATCAATCTCATTCAATCTAACAACTTCTAATATATCTCTAGTCCTGAACCACATTGTTAAATTTAAGTCACACATCTCCTAAATGATCCATACCATAACTGAGTTTACCATGAAATTTCCTAAACCTGCTTCTCCTTCCTGTTTCCATTACTATTGCTTGTATTACAATCCTCCTGCTCACCCTGACTGGAAATCTCCAACTCAGTTTTTATTCCTCCTCTTTGGTTCCTTGTATTGAATCTAAGTGCCATCAAATGTACTTTCAGATTATTTTGCACATTAATATTCTAGGTCAGAGTTTCTCAACCTCTACACTACTAACATTTTGGGCTATCTCATTCTTTGTTGTGAGGGCTATCCTGTGTATTATAGGATGTTCAGTAGCATTCTTGACCTCTACTCACTAGCTACCAGTATTGTCCCACTTCCTAAACTGTATGTTCCCCACACTTCTGAATGTCCTCAGGGGACAAAACTGTCTCAGGTGAGAAACACTGCTGTGGGTGAGATCTTCAATACTTCTCACCTGAAAAAAACGCAGTCACATTTTAATAAGTCCAGATATGATATGAGGTCAATAAACATTTAATAAAACTGGTACACAGTAAGCTCTGGATGCATATTTTCTTACGTGTGTATATATGTACATAGGTATATAGGTGTATGAGTGTGTGTATGTATGTATATGAATGTGTATGACTGAAGGAATGTGTCAGATACTATGCTAGCTGGAGTGTACAAAGATGAATCAGAGACAAGAGAGCTCTGGGGAGCTGACAGCCTAAAAGCTGGTTGGTATTCCAGAAAGTGGACATTGCATGCTCCAGGAACACGGGTGAAGACGTTTAGGCAATAGCAGAGATGGCTTCCCGAGCAGCACACCTGGGCTGCTGAGTCTTCAAATGAAAAAAATTAAGTGAAAGTATTCCACACAGAGGACATGCTATACCACCTCAAATCTATTTTACACACTATCTGATAAATCCTACTAAAGTGCAATTCTAATCATGGGTTAGTTTAAAAACTTTTGGGTTCTACTTCCATTTAAAATTGAGAAAGCTGTCAGAGAATATTCTACCACCCTCACCACAACAAAAAACTGTAGTAATTTACAAAATCATAACTTTTCTTGAACCCTTCAGAGAACAGAGGTCCCAAGAACCAAAGGAACTAATTCCAAACTCTCCCACTGAGGAGAGATGGAACACAGGAACTGTCTCACTTTGGCAGAGCATAGGAAGAAGAGGTGACCACCACAGAAACAAACAGAAAACAACTAACATTTTAACAAATGCCCAAATGGCCAAATACAGACTAGTATATGCTTACAGTAAATGAGAGCGCTGGCCACAAGGGGAGTTTGCACGCACAAGTTCTCCTCCATGGGTTTCCAAAAGGTCCTCACAAGCAACACTGGAGTCAGAACTAGAGACCACAGAATCACTCTCAGACAAGCAGGAGGCGAGTGGCCACCACTAGAGAAAAGGAACAAGTGCTGCCCACTTCCTTGCACCCTCCTCTTATATGAAGCAAAACCTAAAGTCACGGACAAAGGGCACTCAATTCTTTCATGCCCAGGGCTGTGAGGAACAGAAACCAAAAATACCTTTAAGCAAAGGATCAAAAACCAATCAAAGTAGAGACTGGCTACCACTGGAGGAGGGGTGGGAACACTGAGAAGGCTTCACATCCGAGGACTCACATTACCTGATTCCAATACTTAGAATAATGCTACAGTAGTTAAGATATTAAGACATGGTATTGGTGTAAAACAGACTTATAGATCAATGGAACAGGAGTCTGAAAATAGACCCACAGGAAAACAGCCAATTTTCAAGGTGCCAATGGAGAAAGGACAGTCTTTTCAACAAAAGGTGCTGGAACTAGCCAGAAAAAAGAACACTGACTCATACTTTGTACTATATACAAAAATCAACTAAAAATGGATCACAGATATACATATAAAACCTGAAACAATAAACCTTTCAGAAGAAAACAATGGGAATTATCTTTGTAACTTGGGTAGGTTTCTTGGGATAGGACATAAGAAGCATGAACAATAAAGAAAAAAAATGACTAACTGGAATTCATCAAAATTTAAAAACTGTTATTTCTATAACACTGTTAAGAAAATGAAAAGTGACAGACTGAGAGAAAATACTTATGGAAACACGTATTTGATAAAGGACTTGTATCTAGAATATATAGAGAACTCTTACAACTCAACAACCCAATTTTTAAAAATTAGCAAAAAGTCTGAACACGCTACCAAAGAAAAGACAGGGGTGGAAACTAGTATGTGAAAAGATGCTCAACATATAAATTATTATGTAAACTAAAACCACAATCAGATATCACTCCATACAGACCTACTAGAGTACTAACATTAAAAAACAGACAGACATACAATAGAAAGTGCTGGTGAGGATGAAGAGCCCCTAGGACTCTCATATGTCACAAGTAGGAAAAAAAAAATGGTATACTCACTTTAGAAAAAAATTTGGCAGTTTTTTATAAAGATACCATAAAGTTTTACATTTCTTATATAACCATCAATCTATTCCAAGGTATTTACACAAGAGAAATGGAACATGTACCCACAGATAGATGTGCACGTGAATGTTTATAGCAGCATTATTCATAATAGCCAAAGACTGGAGACAATCCAAAGGTCTAATCACTGATAAATGGATGAATAAACAAATAGTGATACATCCATACAATGGATACTACTCTATAATAAAAAGGAACAAACCACTAACACTATCAATTTCAAAAGCATTATGCTAAATGAAAGGAGCCTGGGACAAGAGGCTACATTCTGTGTAATTCCAGTTAAAGGACATTCTGGAAAAGGCAAGACTACACAGATGAAAATCAGACCAGTGGCTGTCAAGGTTTTGGATGTGGGGAGAAAACTGACTGCGAAAGTGCCTGAGAGAATGTTTAACAGTGACAGAACTGTTATGGATCTTGATTGTGGTAGTTCTACTACCGCATATGTTAAAGTTATCAAACTATGTATTTAGAAAGGGTAAATTTTACTGAGTGTAAGTTATACCTCATAAGCCTAATTTAAATTGGTTAGCTTTCCACTGGGTAGTGAAAACTCTTCACTGTCTTTCCAGCATATCTCCCATTCCTCAGTTCACCCACCCTAATACATTAGCTAAATGGAATAATTTACCTTTGTTGTTATTAACAACAACAGTAAAAACATTAGCAGTCAACATTTACTGGAAACTTGCTATAGTCAGACATATGATAAAAGAAAAGCACTCCACATAAATATTACCTCATTAATCCTCACTACAAACTTATAAGGCTCTATTATTTTCCCCATTTAAAGACAAACTAAGGCTTAAGGAGATTTGCCCAAGGTGCTTCAAATGGCTAATCTGGGACAAACATGAACTTAGGTCTACCTGACTACAAAACCCTGACACTAATCTTCCTCCTATGATTCCTACCTACATGCTGTTACCTCAGAGTGTCTCTTCATCTCAACTTCATTTGCCCTAACCATGTCTATCTTTAAAAGCAAAACTTACATGCATGCCTCATCCATAAAGTTTTTCCCAGATCTCCCTCCTTAGCTGGGAACCCACTCTTCCAAAGCATTAAAAGTTCTAATTGCATGAAATTGATTCCTTACTTATGGCTCTTTACATATTCTACCTTCTGTTATAATTATCGATATATTTTTCTTATTAGATATTCAACTATTTGAGGGACAACACTGAAGACTTCTTCACCCTTTGTAGCCCAGTTACCTAACACAATTTAACTTCCTGAATGAATGAATGAATGAATGAATAAATGATGGCTGGGACATTAGTTGAGTATAGTAGTATAATTAGATGTTAACGTTTTATTCTTTCTAAGCAATGGTACCATTACTTACTAGCTTTTTAGAATCAGTCTATATTACTGTTATCCTTCTTTCTCCAAATTAAATTTTCAGATTAGAAAATAAAAAGCTAAAATTGAGAGGCTAACCCAAACCAAACACTGTCTGCTATCTTGGCATGAATTAAAAACAGAGCTAAACTCCTGGGCAACCCATGAAAGCAACTAGGGCAGAGAGTGGCAAACAGAGACTTGTTAAACGAGAGAATGTAATAGGTCAAGGTAACAGGGGAAGTCATCAGTAGAAATACAGTAGTGAAAATACTAAGTTGCAAAAGACTAGGCACATTCTTGACATTAAAAATAATGGGGAGGAGGATATTTAAGGTTTATAAAAGACTTAAGACATATAATAACTAAATGCAGTATGTAAACCATGTAGAAATCTTTGTTCAAACAAGTTATTGAAAAAAACATTTTGGGACAATTGATAAATTTTAAATAGGAATAAATATTAGATGATATTAAGGAATTACTGTTAATTTTGTTAGGTGTGATATGGTAGCATGAATACATAAGAAAGTTGTCAGTTTTTAGAAATACATAACTGAATTATTCAGGGATGAAATATCATAATGCCTTGCATTTATTATAAAATATTTTATGGGGTGCCAGGGTAGCTCAGTAGGTTAGGCATTCAACTCTTGGGGATTTTGGCTCAGGTCATGATCTCGGGGTTGTGAGATCGAGCCCTGCATCCAGCTCCGTGCACAGAGGGGAGAGTCTGCTTGAGATTCTCTCCCTCTGCCCCTCTCCACCCTGCCCTGCTCGTGCTCTCTTTCTAAAATAAATAAATTAAAAAAAAATTTTTTTTTAAATAGTTTAGCAAAAAAAAGCAAAATGTGACTGTTATATATA